GTCGAACACAGTGAGCATACAAACTCAGCCCCACTTGGCGAAGTCAGTGAGAGTGAAACACACAATACAGCGGGCGAACACAGTGAGAGTGAGCAAGATGTTCTTCTCAGCGATCCCGCTCCGTCCATCGCTGCCAACGTGCTGGATGCCCAGCGCAAGGTCCTGCTAAAGACATCTGGCCACAGGCAACTCCTCGCCTGCCCATTTGGGCTTTGCAAATGCAAGGGGCCCCGCCTTGACCGCAAAGCCTGGGTCAATCATGTACTACGCGAGCACCCCTACGACGAGCAAGCCACAGTGTAATGTGTGTGGACAAGGCGATTGTCACAGAGGTATCCAACCAGTCGAAGTGTACACGAGAACATGGATTGAAGCAAGGCGAAGGAACAAGACAGAACAAGACAGAAGGAGGGAAGTGGAACGACCGAGGTCAAGAAGGAAAATGGTACCGATCCAGGGAGATCGCTCCCATTTATAGCAGGTGGAAACACACACACAGTGGAGACAGAGAATGGACTATCACACTGAAGACAGGTGGATAAATAAATTAGGTGTTTGAACCTCAGAGCTGAAAGCAAAGCTGTGCAACCCCGACATCAACATCACAAGGGCACGCAAAACATCACAAGAGAACAAGTTACATTCGGCACGCAAAACAACACAAGAGAACAAGTTACATTCGCTGGCTTTTATCATGCCAAGAAGTACAAGCGCGAAGAATCCTGCACACAGAAACAAAAATCGTACAAAACGACCAAGTATAACCAGAGATACGGCCATTTCAAACACAAGACACCCAAAAGGGCAGTCACACATATCACAACTACAAGCCATCACAGCACAAACACAATGAACACCACGGCACGCTCACATACAACAAGAGACAGCGTCGGGTCGAAAAGGCAACCGACCACAGAAGACAAAGACATCATACAAAGGACCTTACACAAAAATTCAGCAAAAATTCAGCAAAAATACAGCAAAAATTAAAGTAAAATTAAAACAAAAATACAAGTCAAGCCATCAAAAGACACAACGAGGAACCACCCTGGGAGCGACAGGTGCACACAGGGATCCTCACAGAGGGACCCCCGAGGCGGTGCCTACCTACGACGAGCGCAGGCAGACACCGCCAAAGTGGCGCTGGATGTGGTCAGCGTTCATCTGATGGACCAGCGCCGCAAAGCGACCCTTCCATCGAGGAACAAAGGCCTCATCCAGCCCCGGCTGGTACACACCACGGGCCTCGGCGCAGCGGGCGAGCTGACCAAGCAGATCCACAAAGGAGGAGGCGAACCCACCGGTTGTCGTCATCGCCGCAGGGACGATCAGAGTTTTTCCATGGTTGAAACCGGTGTAGTAGTCGCGCTTCTCCTTTTCGGCTCGGCGAAGGGCAGCGCCCACCTTGATGCAGGCTTGCGAGGTGGTCGAGGGTTGGGCTGTGCGCACAGTCACGTCAATGCCCAGGTCGGGCAGAGCTGGGCCCAGAGCACCGCCGGGAAAAGGGTTGCGGCAGTGCAGGTCGATGCGGCAGCTCTGACCGTTGGCGTTGTAGCCAGACTTTTCCACCCAGACATGGGAGAGGGTGGCGTACCTGAGCAGGCGGCCCATCTCGTCGCGAAGGGCGTTGTGACGCTTGATGGGACGGCAGGTCAGCAGATGCTCGCGGGTCAGTCGCGGCTGAGATGTCTTGCTGCTGCAGAGCGGGCACTTGTCCGTCGGCTTGACGTTGAATAATAAATTAGGTGTTTGAACCTCAGAGCTGAAAGCAAAGCTGTGCAACCCCGACATCAAAATCACTACGTCACGCAAAACAACACAAGAGAACAAGTTACATTCATTGGCTTCTATCATGCCAAGAGGTACAAGCGCGAAGAA